GTGAAAGCCGATCCGGCGATCCACAGCGCAAAGTTGTTGTATTTCCTCAGCAACCAGCACGGATCAGCTCTAGGCTCTAGGCATGACGAAGCGGATATCGTCCTCTTTTGGAAGCCCAAACAAAGTAGTTTCGCTTTCACAAAAAAAACACACAGCGTCTTCACGACATGGCGGCAGCAACAATACTACAGCGAGAATAAAAGTTAATGCCTTCTTTCTTTGCGTGAACATTTGGGTGGCGCTATGCAAATCTTCCCACATCGTGACGTAGACATGTGGGGGCGTGTTAGAACGAGCCGTTTTAGGTAGGTGTGGCTGTTTCTTACCTTTTATAAAGAATATCTCTTTGGATTTGAGACTTTAGTCTTTGCAACTTTACAGATCTTCTTTATGCACCAAGAGCTTGTAACACTCCAAAGAGAAAGGAAAAATTGAAATCGCATCATATGACCCCTTTAAGCTTAGTACTGACTTGGTAGTTCATTTGAGTAAATCCATGACGTCTGAACTCATCTCTACAGGTGATTGTATGACTTTTGACCGATGAAATTGGCTGCAGTCCAGGGTTTGCTCTTAACTGGTTGGGGGAAAACATTCATGCTGTTATAGTCATCTATGCTAGACTTCTCCTGAAAGTCAACTAAGCAGATATACTACTTTCAAATTTCTCTCCTTGAAAATGAATTTAAAAAAATATTGATGCAATTTGATCACGCAAAATCTTGGGCAATAAGAAGCTATGAGAAGCTCCAACAAGAATCTCCTCTAATACTTTATCCTTGCAATATCAAGTAACGAATCTTCATTTTGACTAAACAATATACATTACCATCTGGGGTCAGTAAGTTAGGGTTAGGGTTTTTTTCTTTTCTTTTTTTTTTAATGAAATAATACTTTTATTCAGAAAGGACTCATTACAATTAAATTAATTAAATGTTACAAAAAAACTACTTTCTATTCTTTCTATTCTACGGAGCCCTGCACATGGCACGCAGGAACAAAAATAGTAGGCTAAATCGTGCTAACGATTTACTATTTCGTTCCCTCAATTTATAAATTGTGTGCACGATTTATAAATCGAGAGAATTAATTGGTAAATTGTGCGCACGATTTAGCAAATCGAGAGAAGTAATTAGTAAATCGAGGAAACAAAATAGTAATCGTGCGCATGATTTATTAATTTTTTTCTTGCATGTCTCCGTACTATCCATCAAAAAACCCGTAAAAAAATTATTACAGTTTCCACAAAATTTTAAGCAGAACAACTATTTTCAAAAAGAAATGTTTCTTCACTGTAAAAAATTATATGACCAGTAAGTCAAAATAAGATGAGCAATTTAATTCTGTCTGTGTTGAGTCACAAATCAGCATATTATTGATTGATTTCTGAAAGAACATGTGACACTGAAGACTTCTGAAAATTCAGCTTTGCCATTATAATTTTTTTAATATATTTTATTTAAAATATATTACAATTGAAAATAGTTATTAAATTGTTATAATATTACACAATATAGTTTTACCCTATTTTTGATCAAATAAATGCATAAGGGACTTATTTCAAAAACATTAAAAATCATACCAACCCCACACTTTTAGTGTAAGAAGCTATACTGACTCACTTCTGTATATGGCCATGAGAAAATGCGATCGTGTATGTAAGATTATATTGCAGTTAATGACCATTAGCAAATATATTTATAGCCGACCAGCATATAATCAGTCTTTAGTTGTAGTTAGTTGCACTTGTAGTTAGCATTAGCCACAGTCTAGTTTTGAAATGGATTTCTTTGGAAGGTATTTAAATATGTTTTGGCGTAAAGGGGACCAGACTTTATGCCTACAGCCAAAAGTCTGGAAGAGCAAGACTACCTTGTAGTCTATTCATGCAGAAGTCTCACTGCTGTTCAGAAATAACCACAGGCCGCTGACCATTCTCACATTAATTTTGAGAGTGGAGCCAGACTGGAGACATGTCTCATTTAAGCCCACTTCTCTGCACTCTTTTGTATCTCTATAAATCTCCATACACGACTCCATGCCGGCCATAATCAATTTTTAAGTGTGTATTTTAGTTCAGATACAGCTAGTCACCAGTGATACAATCATTCATGATGTGTAAAATAGAGTAACTTAGAGCAATATTTCAATTCAAGTCTATTTCAGTCTTTCAGAAATATCATTGACCTGTTGAGCGCTCTGTATAGCATATCCAATTTCTCAGCCTGTCAGACTGACAGAATCTCCCTCCTAATCATCGAGGGCTTCTAAGCGGCTACTTTAAGCCAGAATAAAACATGATGTTTTATTGTTCAAAGCCAAAAAGTGTACATTACTATAAAGCCTTGTATAATCAGGGGCTGTACAGGGCATTTTTTCTCTGGCTAGAAAAAGAGATTGGCTTGTTTTTAAACTTTTTTTTTCTTCTTTGAAACCACAGTGGGCACAGAGTGGTGGCCCTGATAATATCTGCACGCAAATTCATCTTTATTACAATAGACCTATTCATATCAGACGCCTACAGCATGACCAAGCTAGCTTTATTGGCAGCATATGTGTCCTCATCTCTTTTGTTTTTTAACCCTTTCCATTTTAACCGTTTCTTTAACACAGGAAAATGTGCATGGCAACAATGACAGTATTGTCTGTTTAATTTCTAAATGTAAACAAAGTGTACATCAGTGAATGAGGAGGTGAATTTGAAACTGTAGCTTACCAATAGGGCTGCACGATTATGACAAAAATCATAATTGTTGATTATTCCCT